AAGTTCGGGACATTGTCCAGGAGGTGTGGGATATGAGCTTTGATGGTACCCCTATGTTTCGTCTATGGTGCAAACTTAAAGCCCTCAGGCACCGGTTATATGAATGGAGTAAGCTTGGTAAGAGTAACTCCGAACGGAAAATTCGGAGCCTCCAACGGGAATGGGATGTTACTAGAGGCGCTATTGATGTTGACTGGGGAAAGCTTCGAGAGATTGAAAGCCATCTACGCGCGGCTTGGGTGGATGAAGAGATTTATTGGCGACAAAAGTCCAGGGTGGGTTGGTTGAAGGAGGGTGATCAGAATTCTGCCTATTTTCATAATGTTACTAGGGCCCGTCGTCGCCATAATTACATTCATAGTCTCAAAGACCCCGCGGGAAATTCGGTGACGTCGGAGGAGGGAAAAGCTCTAATTGCTAATGATTTTTATACCCATCTGTTCACGTCGGGAGGTTTGGACTCTCAGTCAGTTTTGGAGAAGGTGGGGGCGCTGCAGATTGAGAGAAGAGTGACGGATCGGATGAATTCTAGGTTGACTGCCGAGGTCTCTCCGGAGGAGATTCGCAACAGCGTTTTTCAAATCGGAGCTACGCAGGCACCAGGATCGGATGGGTTCACAGGAGTTTTTTATCGGAAGTTCTGGGAGATAGTGGGTCCTGATGTGATTATGGCGGTCCGACATTTTTTCGATACTGGCTCCCTCCTGAAAAACTGTAATCATACTTGGCTGGTGCTCCTTCCAAAGGTTGATAATGCTGAAAATATGAGGGATCTTCGGCCCATTAGTCTATGTCAATTTGCCTATAAGATCATTGCGAAGATTTTAGCTGAGAGGCTTGCTCGATACTTACCATCAATTGTCTCTCCAGGGCAGAACGGTTTTGTACGAGGCAGGCAAATCGTGGATAATGTTCTTATAGGGCATGAGGTGATGCAGTACCTGAAAAATAAGAGGGTGGGAAAACAGAGTTTCATGGCCGTCAAGGTGGATATGGAGAAGGCATATGATAGGGTGGAATGGCCATTTTTGTTCGCATTGCTTGAGAAACTTGGTTTCAGTGCGCAATGGATTAGATGGCTTCGGGTTTGTGTGTCTTCTTCATCGTTCTCTGTTCTCATGAATGGTCAGCCGTCTGGTTATTTCCAAGCTTCGCGGGGACTTCGACAAGGTGATCCGTTGTCGCCGCTTTTGTTTGCTATTTGCACAGAAGGCTTTGCTGCTCTGCTTAGACAAGCGTTATCGTCTCGTGCTCTTTCTGGTCTTCGTATTAGTCCCAGATGTCCTGTGATCGCGCACCTATTTTTCGCAGATGATTCATACCTGTTTCTGCGAGCCTCTCGAGCCGAATGTGCTAGTCTCATGGTTCTCTTGCACCAGTATGAGGAGCTCAGCGGTCAAAAGGTAAATTTAGATAAGTCGGCAGTCTGCTTTAGCAGGAATGTTCTTCCACGGGATGCACAAGAGATGGGGCAGTTACTTGGGATTGGAGCTATTGGTGTAACGGATCAATACTTGGGTCTCCCTTCTCTGGTGGGGAGGTCGAAGTATGATACGTTCCGATATATAGAGGAAAGGGTCATCCAAAAACTCCAGGGATGGAAGCAGCAGTGTCTTTCTTGGGCCGCTAAAGAAGTTCTTCTGAAGGCAGTTGCTAATGCTTTACCCATTTATGGGATGTCTTGTTTCCTGTTCCCTCTGACTCTATGTCGTTCTCTAGATAGACATTTGGCTCGGTTTTGGTGGGGGGTTAAACAAGGGGAAAGGCGGATCCATTGGGTTTCTTGGAAAGCGATGTGCCTCGGTAAGCAGGAGGGTGGGTTGGGTTTCCGTAGATTTGAAGAGTTTAATCAAGCTCTTCTGGCTAAGGTGGCCTGGCGAATCTGGAAGGATCCCAATTCCTTGTTGGCTCGAGTGTATAAAGGGAAATACTTTCCCAATTCAAGTATCTTGAGTGCAAGGACTGGGTCTCTCACATCTTGGGGATGGCGTGGAATTCTTCGAGGGCGTGATCTGCTTCTCCAAGGGCTTCGATGGCAAATTGGGTCAGGAGATTCAGTAGAAGTGCTCACTGATAATTGGGTGCCAGCTCTACATCCGTTTCCCCCCAAACCGCGACAGGGTATTATTGGAGTGGAAGGCAAAGTGGCGTCTTTGATTTGTCCTAATCAGGGTGTCTGGAGGGTAGATTGCCTTCGTCAGATCTTTGAAGAAGACACGGTTAAAGCTATCTTGGCTATTCCTCTACCCATTAAGGTTGTGCCAGATCGCCTGGTCTGGGATGGAGAAATCTCTGGATGTTATACTGTCAAATCAGGGTATCACAAGGCGGTCGAGTTAAGACGGCAGAAGGAGCTGCAGGTGAAGGCAGTCGCTCTATCCTGGGACCGCAGCCTGTGGAAACGAATTTGGGCCACTCCGATACCGCCTAAACTGCGGTATTTTATTTGGCAGCTTGTCCGGGGTGTCTTGCCAACTGGTGAGGCACTGAGTACTCGCGGGATGGAGGGGCTGGAGCCATGTCCAGTCTGCGGGGAGGAGGTGGAGTCTCTTGAGCATCTCTTCTTCCGATGTCGTGTAGCGCTGCAGCTCTGGGAGGGGGCCGAGCTTCACCTGCTGAGAGATCGGTTCCCCCTTAACAATATAAGCATCTTTTGGCGCAGGGTTCTCGAGGAAGGCAATTTGGACCGGAGCACGCTGATGCGGGTGGTGGCTCTTTTTTGGCGTGTTTGGCGTGCGCGAAATTGGGTTGTGTTTGATTTCACTCAGTTCATTGTCCCTGTTTTGCTTTCTCAGTTTCGTTCGCAGGTTACAGAGTCGGATTCCGTTCCTGATAATCAACAAAGGCCGCCTTTTCCAGGTCCTGGGGGTCCTCGCCTAGCGGTTAGAGAGTCAGTCCCGCCTGGGGAGTTAGTGTTGTTTGTTGATGGGGCCACGTTGCGTGGTTCCCACGGGGCTGGAGGTTGGGTTTTGCAGGATCCATCGGGCGTGGTGGTGGCGGCTTCAGCGGCCTTGTATGTGGGGATTTTTGATCCCTCCTTGGTGGAGCTGTTAGCTTTTCGGGATGCGATTCGTTGGTGTTTGGCACGAGGTCTTCATTCTATCGTCTTTGCTGGGGATGCACAGGTGGTGATTAGAAGGATTCGAGAAGGTCAGGTTGATGATGTTCAGGGTGGCACGGTTTTGGAAGAAATTCGATGCTTGACGGGCTCGTTTTCGGTGTTTGATATTCGGTTTGTTGGTAGGGATTGTAACAGGGTTGCCCATTTGGTGGCAAGAAAAGCCCTTTCGTTGTTCCCTCACTTAGGAGGGTTCGATTTTGTTTCTTGGCTGTTTTCAGCTGTGTGACTTGTTATATCTGGCTTTCTCGGTAATACGAGTGATCTTTTGGCAAAAAAAAATAATTAGTTTATATTTTAAAAGGTTAAACTTGATCAACAAGCTTGTAGCATAGTAATTATGGCTACAACTAGTTATGTGAATTGATAGTTCTCTGTCTTTTTTCCTATCTCTTCTCTCTATATGCCACCACTTTATTTTTTCAAAGGGCTTCGGCGTCGCATGCACCATCTAGTGACCGGCTACCGCCCAATCCCTTTCCTTTTTCTCTTTCTGTCTTTACTCCATTTCGTTGTTGCTCTTTTTATTTGCACCTTGCTTTCTTTTCCTTTGATTTTCTCACTATTTTTTGCTATGGTTTGGTCCTTTTCTCCCCTTTGTGAGTTGAGCTTTTGACCCTCTAATATGAGTTTTCATATCAGGATATATTTCCCCTTTAGATGCAAAGGAGGCTGGACTTTGTCCAGCTTGTCTCTTCTTCCTCATGACCTTCGTCTACCTCTTTTGCTTCACCTTACACATCTTGGTAATTCGAAGATGTAAGCGCTGGCTTGGACTTGGTTTGAAGGTATTGGAGACAAAAGGTTTTTCTCACGGCCTCGTCACCGGCCACCCATGCAACTTCAAGTCTTTTTTGGCGCTCTTGGTCAGCGAGGAACAATGGGTGTTTTAGTCCTGCAAGGTTCGGTCGGATGTGGCTACGGCTCGTTTTCGCTTTCCTCTGCTCGGGTTGGTGGCTTCAATTTCATGTCTTGGCTCCATCGGCCTTGTTTCTGGCGATGGGGGGAGATGCGTTTTAGGGGCACCAAACACCTTGGGAATGAGTGGGAGGCAGGGCTCTTGTTTGGGCTCCTTTGTTTTGAGCTCTATTGGGTATCCAACCTGGTTTGGGGGTTTTGGGTTCTTCTTTTCTTACTTCAAATGTATCCTGTTGAAACATTTTTCTTCTAGGTTTGGCCCATTTGCAATGTAATCCAACCTGTTGAAAAAAGCTCGTAGAATAGTAAGTAAACAACTCATTCTTTTAACGAAGATGTTGTGTGTTCAAATCCCAACTCCAACATTTTTATATAACAACCATAAAAATGAGGTGAGACTAGTCAAAGCCGGCCGAGCGGCTTGTACAATTACTCTTTTAACCAATCGAACCAATTATCAGCCGTCCGACTCTCAGTAAGGGGCCATAAGCAATATCAAGGCCGGATTTAGATCCGTTGATGTTTCTACCGATTGAACCCGCTAATAGCAACGGTAAAAACATAAGCTTTTAAATTTTAAAGCACACGATTAACTACATTAATTAGATCATGTATTTTACATCAATTGTAAATATCCCTGAACTTTTAAATTTTTATCTAATTTGCATTCGTGCGATCCATAAATTTAACCTTCACACTGCCCCAATCTAATTAACACTACCACACAATTAATGGATACGAAGGGCTTCTAAGTAGAATTCGAAAGGAACTTGTGTTAGACCTATACGACTACAAGGCCTTTCCATAAAATAAAAAGTACCATACTACTGACAACAGCATAACCAGCTTTCGGAAAGGAATCCTACTACGATATACTCATATACACACACATAACCTTTAGCTCGTATGAGGGAGGGACTCCTCCCCTTAACTACATAACTGTTGCGAACCAGAAAAAGTTGCCTTAGGCACCGACAGCTACAGCAGCAGTAAGATGATCACGTCGCTTCTGGAGAAACATGTCGCAAAATCGCTCGAACTTGTCTTCCTTGATTGCACTTCTGATGGCCTGGAAGAATCCAAGATAGTGATGTGTGTTGTGTCTGCAACAAACAGGGACAAAGTCGAAATGACTCATTAGTAAAAAACCCCGTCATCATCATCATTGAAGCAGCCGTGAAACTTGACAGTAACCGAATGCAGTATATTGGTCATACATTTCAAGCAAAATCTGAGCCAGCATTTCATGGACATTCAGAAGGTGATTGATGTAAGCTCTCGTGTGATTCCGACAAGTGTAGCATACGCAGCCTTCTACAATTGGGTCTGTGTCCTTCCTGGAAAGAGATTTGAAAGTTGTCACGACAATCCATTGCATCTGTCTATCGATAGCTTTGTCATAAAAACCTTCTGAGTCGTGAGTTCATGGTGGGATTTTTAACACAATTTTCTTATCAGACGGTTTTGGTTTATCAAATGGCACCCAAAACTGACTAATCCTCTGCTGATTTTGCTCAAAGTTAGGATGAAATGCAAAATAACCAGAAGACATTGTTAGAGTGACATTGTTGAAGTAAAGATGAATAACCTGTAGACAGTTGCTTTCAGATTGATCTTGCTCTGATCAATTCCCATAGTCTTCTCAGGAAATTCTTCAGCAAAACTAAGAACGTCCAATGGGAAGGTCAGTGCAAACCCACCAAGTGTGAGATGGTAGATATACCTGGACGATGTTCAAGTGACAGTAAGTGGATGCTGGAAAGCTTACCAAACAAACAAATAAGGGAAATAAGTTCAAGCAACTTACGATGAGTCAAACAGATCAATTCCAGCAGCAACACCCTGCAACACCTCCTCTAGGATAGAAGAAAAGTGGGAAGAAAAGAAAGATTCAGTAATACACCCAAAAGCCCAACAAAACAGAAGATTAATAGTAAGTATCATTGGCACTTCATGTTGGAAACCAAATCAATTAATGCACAGAAAAATTATTTCAGAGGTCAGTATGAATGCATGTCGACTAGTGGAGACAAATTGCCCTAGTCCAAATAATTCTGCAAATTCTAAAACAAAAAACCCTCCATAACCTCAACTCAAATTCTCACTACCTTAAGGAAGGTAACTCTACATCTTTTCTCCTCGATATCCATGTCCCGTCTCCAATGAATACAGTAAAGTTTGTTTTCTCTTTTGTGAGAGAATGGATATAGATGCAGATTTTTTTAATCTTTAATAGCCCATTTCCCAGCTATTGCACGAACTCTAATAGTTTGAACATTGATGTTCCAAGAACTTCAGAGTGGCAGAATTGACTCTTGTACAATACAGGGTACTAACAACACTACCCTCCATCTGAGAACTCTAGAAAAGAAAAGATGCATGGCATTACATATTTGACAGACAGTCCGAACTTTAGGTGATCCGGAAGCCAAGCTGATCTTAATGGTTCACCATCTCACATCTAAGGACTGAAAGCTTGATGGAAAGGAAAATAAATAAATAAAATCTTGGGATATAAACTAATGTCAAAATTTTCAAAAAGATACCTGGCAACCCAAGACCAGAGATGAGACGAGGCATTTCTCCAGGTAGATGGTCCTGTTAAACCCCCTTTAGCATCAGAACTCAAAATACTACCAACAGATACTTAGAAACTTGTATATTGTACTGTGCTAGTCAACAACAATAAGCCCACAACTGTATTAACTTGACTTAAAATGAGAAGCTTCGAGTATCATAATTAGCTTTCTCACAGTTACTTCATTAAGCAAAGCTGGACGATCATCCATGCTCTCTCCAAAACCAAATCCTCCAATCCAGTAACCTAAAAGGAGATGTGCAATCAGTCCATGCTGAAAAGGGTAGTCGAATAAGTATAATAAATAAAAAAAAGATGCAAACAATGCTGTTGCCTACAGCAGATTCTCTGCAATACAAATTGTCCGACTGGGTCCTAGTTTTCTTAGTAGACATACATATTTTCCTTTATTACTTTCGTATATTAGACCTGGGCACCTGGCCTTTTGACACCCTACAAAATTCCAGATGAAATTGGAATCAAGGATCTGCAAGTGAGAATTATATTACATTGGAGGTTTCCAAAATGATTGCCATGGACAGAAGTAGATCATTTAACTCAAGTGTAACCTGAAACTTCCGCCTTATGCCTAGGCTCCTTAAGATTCATCTGCACTTATATGTGCCAACTCGCAACATCTCAAGAAGAACAATGAAAGGTGAACACAAACATCTAATAACACACACTTGTCCAAGTACAGATTTCACCATTCGAGATCGGGAATATTCAAATTTTTAGCCTCAAGGCACCTCACTTCCACAATTAGAAAGAAAAAAAGGGTTAACAAATCTTAAGTGCATATCTGAGATTTCCTGTCAGCCAATTTATCCAGTACGTCGGAAATTTCCGGAAATAAACTTGACAACCAACCAGGGAGGATGGTGAAACCTGATATATTTCTTTTGGAGACTTCTAGTGCACACCTTTTCCTTTGCTCTTTATCGCAACCTCCAACAATAGCTCCAAAAACCGCTCCATTCGCCTAAGTATATTAGTTCAGAGACAGAACATTAGTCTAGTTCCAGACGTAGTTATGAAAACCACTTAAGGGCAGCCATTGCAACAATAAACATTAGCTCACATTGTTATCTATTCCCCATCAGAAAACGACTCAGAGATACACTCTGAAGAAAGGGGCACAACTACTAAAAGCTATTTACAAACAGAATGCCATAACATGAAACTAAAGCAATTACAGCTATATGACTATGACATGAAGTTAAGCAAGTCCCATCAAGATCAAACCAACTAGCACAAAGTAGTCGCATCGCCCATCAAAATAGCTAGTTCAGCTAAAATTATCACAATTATAAATAATAAAGGACACCAATTATGAAATCTAAGATACCGGGCTTTGTGAGATGCAGTCATCGAGCCATTTTACAGTTCTATCAACAGAAGCCTTGTTCCTATGGTCAGACACCCACCCAGGTACTTCATCAGCCAAGGTGGCCCACAGACTTGGCTTCAGGGAACAAATCAGCTCCATATAATCCACAGGTTTAATCTGCAAATGCATGAAAATATTAAGAAAATATCACAGGGAAAAGGCAAGAAATAAAACAACGACAAACAGAAATAAATTTAAGATGTTGCAGAAAAGATTCAACTATTTACCAGCCGTCTGCCACTTGGTGTGTCAAAAGATGCTCCTAGTTTATTGCTGCTATCGAACTCAGGAAGGCACTGAACAGAATCCCTTGGAAAGGCTGCGAAAGCATGCCTTTGCAATCCAAGTATTTGGTTTAGTCCTCCAAGCTTTGATATGATATTTGGTGACATGGTTTCCACACTGCAAAAAATCAAAAGATGGACCCCCTTCATCATCCACAACTTATTTACCATGAGCTATGCACCATCAAGAAATAAAGTGTGTCATCCATTGAGAAATACAAAGTCCTCAAGTATCATCATGATGAAAATTCCACTTTCGAAAATGCTTATAACAGTCCAATTGACTTCTACATGTTTTGTTTTTGCATCTTTGGCTTGAATACGGCCAGGTATTATAGGTCTCTCCCTGGTTCGCCCCATATACTAAATAATCCCACTCAGTCTCTATCGCCAATGTAGTTAAAACGGTGCTTTAAAGCTTAAAAACTTACGCTTTTAAGCTTCTAGATCACCAAAATGCTTCTACGCAATAACGCAAAATTACCTTTTTATAACTAATGTAGTTAAGAACGCGCTTTAAAGCTTAAAAGCTTACGGTTTTACGCTTCTAGCTCACCAAAATGCTGCTACGTAGAATCATGTTTTTTACTACATTGTCTATCGCAATGACCTGGTTAGACAGAAATTGAGGCAATGTTGTTTCAAAATAGCAAAGTTTCAAAATTGCAAAGCACAGCAGAAACAATATGATTCTTTTCACTCAGCAACACATGGAACAACGTAAAACTAACAGAACTCCACCTACAGTTAATAATGTATCACGACCGGAAAGCTGAAAAGGTTGCAACCTTTACTCTGGAGCACCCCGATACAAAAGTGCATCTATATAAAGCACCACCAGTTTCAAAATCATTTTGGTGCGTCACTAAGACTAGCATCTTCCATCCATTCAATAATCACCTCCATAACTCAACAAAACAGTAAAAGGGCCTTATGATCAGGTTCATGGCAAAACAACCCAAGAAAGAAACAGAGAATTAGAAGCTTACAAGTGCAGCGGGCTAACATGGAGAAGAGCAGAGTCCGGATAAGGCAAATCAGGAAGGAGGTCAGGCGAGATAAATAGAGGCAGCCCTTTACGAGTAGAAAGGAGAAGAGCAGGCGTTTCCATTGGGGAAGGACAGCTTCCCAGTTGAAGTTGCCCAGCTCGTGCCTTACCATTGCTCCATGTCTTCACTGCAAACTTCATGGCGACTGAAAATTGAACAGATGCCAGCAATGTCAAGTAGAGCTCCAACCTCAAATTGAAATTATCAGCTCGAATTATATTGCCTCTCACAGTGGAAAAAGAACCTGGAAAAGCTAACGTCATCCCATGGACTTTCACAAAGGAACACTAATGATAGTATAAATTCGCCAATTTTCCTACTCCACTATTCTCGCCCTAGCTCATCTCTGAGAATTAAGCAAGAGAGGTATGCGTATATATGACAGTAAGTCAGAGAGAGGAAGGTGAGATAGTTACAGAGTAATATGCACTCGGGCTTTAATTTTTCTTCCTCGTTTCCTGTGGACTAACAGCGGCAATAGCGGCCAAGCAATGGCGAATCAGCGACGATTATCAACACGACCGTGGCAGGAGGCAAAGCTAGTAGCGGGGCTGTAGTCGGTCGGAGGTAAGCGCCGGCGACGATAGTTACGGAATATCTACCAGCGAGCGGCGGGGTTCTTTCCAGGATTGCCTGCCTGTGTTTTATTAACTCGCGAAAACCCTGCCGGGCGCCGGCTACCAATGTGCCATTGCTAAACCCTTGAAGGGCATGTTCGGAATTGGACAATGATTTCAATATTGTGTCCAAGTATTAAAATGGTCACTTAATTTTGGAGTCATCAACAAACCAATCACACAACACTTTTTTTCCATAAAGATATTATAGATAGATAGATAGATATGAGAATTATTTAAAAATTTTGTAGAAGTGGTCAAAGGAAAAAAATAATAGATTGGTCGATTAAAAAGTATGTCTAATGACGGTGTACTAGAGAGTTTGTTTTGCCACAAAATGAGCAACCTTGTTGTCATGGTAGTTAGTACATCTGACGAGCAATTGGAATTGTAATCAAGGTTGTCAAACTGGATTACGCCATCAAGTCGGTTAGACAAGTGGGTTGAGTTTTAATGAATGGATCTAGTTCAACTAGTTCAAGTCAGTTTAGATGAGAAAATCTCTAATACCAAATATTTTATGCATAAATTTAACATATTTTTAAAAAATCTCACTAATCTACATTCATATATTACCAAATTATTCCTTCAAAATAAATATATATTACAAAATTATCAATCCTCAACTTAAAACTCTATTTTGACCAGTTTTAGCTAGTTTAACCCCAATTTTGATGGGTTTAACTCTATTGTGACTTTTTCCCTGAACCATCCAACCGTACGGTATTCAAACTATTTAGCCTACATGTTCCTAGGGTGGTAATCGGTTTGGTATCGGTTAACCACTAACAGATATGACGGTTCATGGTTAACCAATGAGCAAAATACTCATACTGATAATCGAAATAATAAGTCTTATTGTTACCGTCTCTTATCGATTCAGTTAGCAATTAGGTTGGTGGTTAACCAATAATCGCTAACATATGCTCCAACAAGTACGAATATACCTATTCAAACCAATAACTTCTATTTTCTTTCACGAAATTTATTAAAGTGAAAAAATAACCACTTGAAATACACACGTCTATCACCCAATTATGTTTAACAAGTGTCATTTAATCATAAACACATGCAAAACAATTTAACTACACTTCTACATTATTAACATAAAATACTAATGATAAAAAATAATATAAATACAACATCCATCTTGAAATCATAATCCAAATCCAAACTCCAACACATTAAATTAAAAATAATCAAATCACTTCATCTAATTAGTGAATACCAACTACCAAGACATCAAACACAAGAACCACATGATCATGATTATCCACAAACATCAAAGAAACTAAGACTACTTTGATGCGATGTTCACTCCGTCGATTGCAAAGAGGAGTCGAAGATGATGGTTTTTGTGTTCTGGCTCTTAAAAACATTTAAGACTTTAGGTGGAGGGTTGCAATAAGTGAAAATTGAGATGTCTAGAATTGCGACTTTGGTTGGTTTTAAACCTTGAGACTTTTTTATTAGCCAAAGACCAAAATTATGTGGTTATACTAGTAGGCGATTATTGGCTTTCTTATCGATTAACCACTAAGTAAAATATAATTAATTGATAACTGCTAATAACCGTCGTTGTCGTTTTGGTTATCGATAACTGACTAACCATTTACCACCCCTACCGATTCCAGTCGGACTCGATTGAACCGGCTGGCTGGATATAGGTTTGATAACTTTAATCGTAATCACATTGTGTCGTTCGACTTCGAGCAATTTTACACTTTTTTCTTGTTATTTTGCATCATAACTAGGGATGGCAATAAAACCCGAACCCACAGGTACCCTATCCGACCCAACCCAGTCAGCGTAGGTAAAACTCGTGTTGAAGGGTTTTGGCCGGGTTCGAGTTTAAACCCATTCACTATTCACCGGGTTGGGTTTGGGTTTAGGTATACCCACCCACACCCATATAATTAATTTTCCCGATATATTTTATATTCCAAGTAACTAATCTTCTTTATGTATAATTTTTTTCTTTCTAATTGCGTAGAATGAAGTTGATATTATCGAGTGGAGAGTGAAGAAGCTTAATTGACAAGGATGAAGAAGATTTCAATTAATCATGATTTTTATGGATAATTTGTAATTTGCTTCAATTTTCTTGAGTTTTCTAGATTGGTATTTAACAATTTGTATGATTAATTTGAATTTTTTATAATAGTGTTTTATATATGGATAATTTGTATTTTGAGATTAATATTTGACTTTTATTTTGATAGGAACTTGTTATTGTAAATTTTTTCGACAAAAATCCATGAGTATCGTTAAACCCGCGGATACCCAACGGGTTGGGTTGGGTTTGAGTTTTCCAAACCCAGTGAATTTTACCCCGAATTTGTTTCAGGGATAAAACCATGAGTTTGGGTTTGAATTTGACCCAACCCGACTCAATCCGACCCACTCCCACTTGCTTGGCCACCACATGTTAATGCATTATGTCCCGCTTGGTTACAGTTGCCACACACTTGGTGTGATGCACCCTCCCTTGGCCAATCCATTTCGTTGTGAATTATTGTTGATCTTGGCCTCCCCGACTTCCTAACCATGTGCAGATTAGGATGGAGAGTAGGGTCATTATGCTTCTTCCAACCCTTAGGTTCACCAAGAGGTGTGAAACTTGTCCCATAACAAGCCAACACTGTTGAAAGCTTGTAAACGTCGTTTACAAACCTATACGGATCAGCCTCCATTCAGTTGCAAGCTGCAATGGCATGAGAGCAAGGAATTTTATTTCCTTCAAATTTCCCGCAAGTGCAAAATCCCGCTCGGTTGCGATCGTTGAAGTGCACTGTGAGTGTGTTTGAACCCGTCATGTTGAAATTGTTGGAAGGAGTCTGAACTACATAGATGTCTTGACGTCGATCAACCTCTGTCACGGAATGTCCAACTGCCTTTTGTGACCATGGCTTCATCAGCTCTTCGCACTTGATGGAGTACTGTGAGCGACCACTTTTAATTTGTGCTTCTGTCTCCAACCTCATCTTATCGAATTTCTCCAACAATCGCCAATAGGTATGTTGCACAAGAGAGGCTATAGGAAGTGAACAAATACCTTTGAAAACACCATTGATGCTCTCTGCCATATTGGATGTCATGATAGACCAACGACGCCCACCATTGTAGTTGTCAGTTCTAAGCTCCAACGAATCTGATGTTGGTCCACCCAGTTATCACAAGAAATATTTCTATCAGCTGCCACCTTCTTAAATTGTTCAACTTGACGCTTCTCCCAGCGTTTTTCTCGGGCTAACAAAATAAACAACCACACGAGTTAGATAGATTCATGACAAAAATACATTAAAATAAATAATACATTAAAATAAAAACAAAATTAAATGAAAAAGTCTTACCGACTCGAAATAGTTGCTTATACATAAACCTGCTTTTAGTCTTCCTTTGCAAATTGCTTGCGTAGTGTCGCATGCACCACCTCCACTCCCAGCCTCTTCTGATGTTATTCATGGCTTCATAGAGTCCCGCATGTCTATATGAAATGATGCATACATCATTTCGATCGGTCAAACCTTGAACGTGACTAATGAACCATGGCCAACTGTCAGTATTCTTGCTCTCCACTATGGCAAATGCAATTGGAAAAATCTTATTCCGGCAATCAAATGAGCTCGCCATGAGTGGCACGCCTTTTTACTTTCCAGTAAGAAATGTTCCATCAACAACCATGACTCCTGGACAATTCTTGAATCCATCGATACAAGGTCCATAAGCCCAGAATACTCGCTGAAATATCGAATGTCCTGGTTGAGCTGAAGGAACTCTTACCCAATCAATCACCGATGTTGGCATCTTTCTCTTTACCACCCGCAAGAATGTTTGCAAATAGTCGTTGGATTCTTCCCAATTCCCATGTAACTTCTCCAATGCTCTTTGTTTCCCATACCAAGCCTTTTTGTAAGTAACTTGCATATTAAACTTATCTTTCATCTCGGCCTGCACAGTTGGAACACTTAGATTTGGTTGGGCACGTTGACAGAGCTCCGGATTAGACTCTATCGAGGGATTGGGGACTAGGGATCAACTAGGGATTAATCCGAGGAATTGGGGAATTGAGGAGGGGTGAATTTGGGGGATTGAGGTGAGAAGAGAGGAGGAAGGGAGGCTGCTGCCGATCGGCAGCTTGGAGGGGAAAGAGGAGGGCTCGGCGGCCTAGAGGGAAAAGAGAGTGAGAGAGAGGAAATTAAGATTTAGGTTTAATCTTCTGCTTGCCATTACGTACGTAAAACAATAGTTTAAATACCAAAACACAATTACCGACTAACTACCCCAACTTATTAGTTCCCCAATTATTTCCCAATAACCAAAATAAACCCGAACTAAACAATTCAAACCGACATAAATCCCAAATAAGTAAAATGTCTATCATTCCCGCTCTCTTCAAAACAACCTTGTCCTCAAGGTTGATAGCCTTCTCCTGCATCTTCTCCTTCCCTCGCCTCATCCTCCGCCTCGTCCTCCCACCTTCCGACCAGCATCATCAAGTCCGGACGTGCACACTTATGACCGATCGTGAACCTCTCGTCGCAGTTAAAGCACTTCCCTTCCCGCCTCTTCTGCTCGATCTCTGCTGGGGATAGTCGCACAAATCCCTTCGGTGGCGGTCGCGCCCCACCCTTTGTCGCCGCTACTGGCGCCTGTACCGCCGTGGATCCCCCATCTCCAGCCGTGGCTCCTGCCACTCCTCCTCCTCCACTGCCGACCCCACTACTGCTCCCGGCACCACTAGCCCTCGGATAGCAGCCTATGGTGCTCCTCCAACTCGCAAGCTCCTCTTCCTTGTACCCTGCAAGACGAAAAGCAGATTTCAAGGAATCCGGTTCAAAGACCCGGACAGCAGCAACAATCTCCGGCTTCAGGCCTGCCATACACACCCCCACCAATGTCTCCTCTGGGACCCCATGGCATTGATTGCCCAGTTTGAAGAACTCCGCACGGTAATCCGCTATTGAGCCGGACTGCTTAAGCTTGTCCAACTGTTCCGGCGCCCATCCCTCCGATTTACCGAACTAGTAATGCAGCTCCTCCTGAAACAGCGGCCATGTGATCAAGGTTCCCACCGCCCCATACGATCTCTCCATCCACTCCACCACTGCAGAGCTTCTCCTTCTAAGTAGAAGGACGCCAGATGCGCCTTCCTCTCCTCGGGTATGGGGTGGTTTCTGACCCATCCTCCTGACCGTTGAATTTTGGAAACTCAATGGTCGGGGGCTTGGCCCTAAAGACCATCCCATCAGTTCCATCATAAGCAGGGTGATATGAACCATACGTGTCATAACCCGGATCACCCTGCTGGTTCTGGTAGAGCGGTGATCCTCTTCCTCGCCCAAAACTGCCCGCGGCACCTCTCCCCATCGGACCCGTCACATTTCCCGCTCCATACGACCCCTGCCACATATTCGGGTCCATGCTGGCCGATCTAACCAACCCCGACCCGAACCGGTTCGGTCCACTTCTGGGTTGGCCCGGTTCAACTCGCCCTGGTTCGCCCCGCCCGCCTCCGTCCGAGCCTGGGTCGGTCGGTCCATGCTCGACCCGGCGGGTTGACCCTCCTCCTCGGCCCAATCCGCACTCGCCCGGCCCAAGCCGCTCCTCCTGCCACGGCCCACTCCGCGCGGCTCGACCCCCTGTCGGGCCCGGGCCCAAGTAATCTTCAACACCAGCCGGGCCGGCCCACGACGCATTCTGGCCCACCATGTTGAGCTCCTCCTCGACCCGCTCCGGGTCCATGTTCAGCCACCCCAGCCCTCTGGGCTCGTGGTAAGGGCCCACGGTATCAGCCCGGCCCATTGGCCTAGGTGGCCCATACCCAGTCGGTTGGGCCCCATTATCATACCCTGACATCTTGGCCTTGCCCTTGCGGGCCGCCAACTCCTGGACCGTCGGTGTCGGTAGCAGCCCAGGGCCGCCGCTGCGACCTTGCTGACCAGGGCCCACTCGCTCGCTTGCGCCGGGCAGGTTGCCCCCTCTCCCCGCGTTCACCACCTCAGCCGCCTCCACCACCACGGCCGCCGCCGGCGGCGCATTCGCCACCACCACTGCGCCCTTCCGAGCGCCGTCCGCCGCTGCCGTGGCGCTCGCCTCCTCGCCCCCGTCTGCCGGCGGTTCTCCCGCCCCGATCCTGCTACTGCCCCCTGCACCGCCGCCGCCGCTGTTCCTCGGCCCGGTTGTGTGCGCGGCTGCCAGTGCCTCCAAGACCATCTGCACCTCGTCGAACCGCTTCCAAACTCTCCGGGACTCCTCCTCCTGTACGCGCCGCTGCTCGCCTTGCTCGCGCCGGACAGCCCGCCATTCCTCGCGCTCCTTCTCGAACTCAACTACCAGGCGATTCAAGGTGGTTTGGATCATCTCCAGCTTCTCTGTCTCGTCCACCAGTTCTCCGTCCCGCGGATCGGAGACCCCATGACCGCCTTCGCCAGCCTCCGGCAGCCCCGTTGAGGTCGTGATCGAGGCTTGCTCCTGCGCCGCGTCCTTGGCGGTCTTCTCAGCGGCTTGCATCGATTTCGTTGACACCATTGCGCTCGTTGTTCTTCGTTTGTATTCGAACCCAAGAACCGGGCTCTAATACCAAATGATAGAGCTCCGGATTAGGCTCTATCGAGGGATTGGGGATTAGGGATCAACTAGGGATTGATCCGGGGAATTGGGGAATTGAGGAGGGGTGAATTTGGGGGATTGAGGTGAGAAGAGAGGAGGAAGGGAGGCTGCTGCCGATCGGCAGCTTGGAGGGGAAAGAGGAGGGCTCGGCGGCCTAGAGGGAAAAGAGAGTGAGAGAGAGGAAATTAGGATTTAGGTTTAATCTTCTGCTTGCCATTACCTACGTAAAACAATAGTTTAAATACCAAAACAAAATTACCGACTAACTACCCCAACTTATTAGTTCCCCAATTATTTCCCAATAACCAAAATAAATCCGAACTAAACAATTCAAACCGACATAAATCCCAAATAAGTAAAACGTCTATCACACGTACCAAGTGTTTCACGGACTCAGATATAACGCCGACATCAAGATGGCGATGATCCGTCAGTTGAGTCGTACTACTACAATAATGCACCAACTCTGCCTTTCTCACCGTCCATTCACCTCGCACATCTCGACTTCCAAACCACACCATCCAAGGACAATTGTCATCCTTGTGCTTCAAACATCTGACCTTCCAGATCGAAGGTGACGACTCCACCACGTTATACTAAAAGTTGCGTTGTAGTGCATAGTGTTTAATCGCCACCTATGCAGCTTGTTAGGAGTGAAATATCTGCCCCTTGTAGAATTCTCCATCAAAACCAGCAACAATAGGCATTGGAATTACGCCATATGAATCAGCAACACATAATTCATCGTCCTCTTCATTACCCCACAAGTAAAAATACAAAGGATAATTAGGTTGCTCCTCCTCCTCCTCCTCCTCCTCCTCCTCCTCCTCCTCCTCCTCCTCCTCCTCCTCCTCCTCCTCCTCCTCCTCCTCCTCATCATCATCATCATCATCATCATCATCATCATCATCATCATCATCATCATCATCATCATCATCATCATCATCATCATCCTCCTCCTCTCCGTCATCACCGTCATCATAGTCATGATCGGATGGCATGCTCCATGTGTCATCTTCTTCCTCTCCACCCCGATCCTCACTAAGCTCAGCATGTGTCTCAGCACCCAAACAATAAAGGTTTTATGCCATAAAATTTCAAAGCACATTCAAGCTATCATCATCCACAATAGGCATCGCATAATGGAATAAAACACCATTCTGCCATTCTGGAAGACAGTAAGTGAAACCTGTAATCACAACACTATCTTGTACTGCTTCGTCTTTACGCCGTATTCTCCGAATTAGATTATCACAAAGTTTCTGATAGTTCACCCTGGATGGAACAGTCAATTGAAAACTTCTACCACCAACGAAATGGACGCCCAAATTGTCCTCTACTTTCTCTTATTTTCACCGAACAGCTAGTTCAAATCTTCTAAAACCACTACATAAAAAACAAACTCGTTAATTACTAACTGAACAAAATCATTATAGCATTTGAAGACTACATTAAAAAATAAATACATCTCTTACCTATTATTAGCCATCTTCCCAGCAACCAGACAGCAACACCATAGCTTCTCTCGTAACTTCGTTGATTTTTTTGGTGGTGAAGAACCGAAGGAAAGGTGGAGAAGTATATATGGTGTTGGAGTGGAAGAGGGAGGCAGCGGCCACGCCTTAGTCTCTGGCGCCGGCGCTGAGACCATATAAACAGCGGCAACGCTCTAGTCTCGGGGGCCGTTGCTGGCTTTTATTGAAAACTCAACAAAAAGCGCCAGCGCCTGAATCTCGGGCTTTGTCGATGTAAACCTATAATAAAACACAATATATGTGTCAATTGTTTTAAAAGCTTCATATTGGTGGTAATTAAAAAAAGGGACAATATTTGTGGAATTAATCCGGAATGAGAAGATGCCACTACAACGTACAACCACATTATCCGAAACTTATCGGTAAATCAATCAGATATCCTGACGTGTCTCTCGTCTTTGGGTTGCCCGGCCCAGTCGCTTCGACGACTCCAAACAACACCAATGAAAAAAAAATAAAATTTTTTTGGAGATGTCACCACAAGCAGAGTCCCACCACAGGCCTCGTACAGCTACCGTCGACCTTTGTTCACCACATACTTCTGTAGTTTTCCCTTTTCCTTCCAATCCAACCAAAATCCATTTCGAAGGCCAAAAAACGATCAAGAAGAAGAAGAATAAGGAACAATGATTGTGACGATGAGGAGCCAAAGATGAAGAAGACTACGGGGAAGAGCTTGTTATGCCTCTCTCATGGCATGTCATTCTGCCTTCTTTGCTCCTTCTCCATCCTCTTCTTCGTTCCCCACCAATCACAGTCCTAGTCCCTTTAGGATTCGTAAATTGAGCTTCTTTCCTCTCGCTTTCTCCTCCATTAACGCCAGCACCACCAGATCTTCTCACAACGGTCTCGTCTCAGAGGTACTTTCGGCTTTCTGCTTCATCTTCTTTCTGGGTCCATTTTGTGTAAGCCGATTCTTCTGAATTTCTCTCTGTCAGTGTCAAAATTTCGCATCTGGGTTTCCTTAAAGGCCAAAGCTTTTATCAGGGTAAACTTGCTAACTGCTGGATTGGGGTTTGTTGCTAGGCAGTCAGGCTTCTGGGTCCTCCAGCAAGATTCGATGCTTCAAAGCTCAAAGTAGTGTTGGTAGGAAGGGACAATGACTACTCAAGAATCATCCCTAGAACTTACATTCTGTCTCACTGTGACTTCACTGCAAACTTAACCTTGACCATTTCCAGTGTCATCAACTTAAACCAGGTAACTGAAATAGGCTTCTTCTTCTTCTCGAGTGAATGAATGGTTTTGCTACAAGTTTTGAACCATAGGATGACGAAGGGTATATGCTGAAGTGAACTCACTCGAGTTGTTCGTGGACAGCTAAGTGGCTGGTATAGCAAGGACGATGTGGTTGCTGAATGGAAGAAATTGGAAGGGCAGTTGTGTCTGCACATTCACTGTTATGTCAGTGGTCCGAATCTCACTTTCGACCTTGCTGCCGAGCTTAGATATCACATTTTCGCCAAAGAAATGCCTCTGGTAAGTTTCTCCCTGCATCCTTAGCTATTCATTTGGAGAGACGAGCTTTTGCTAGATAAAAAAAACTCTTCTAGCTTCTAATACCATGGTTTTGTCACAATGTACAATGCCTTGTGTTGTGGGGGAAGTTTCGAAAGGAACAGTATGTACGCGTTCCATGTTTTGTCTCTGGTTCAGATTTTAACGCGAACCTGTTTTGTATTTGCAAATGGCAGGTACTTCAAGCTTTGTCATATGGCGATGCAGAGCTCTTTCAGGCAAATCCGGAGCTAAATGATGCTTTAGTTTGGGTGTATTTCCATTCTAGCTTGCCGAAATACAATCGAATGGAATGTTGGGGACCCCTCAAGGATGCTGCTCAGGTTAAGATTAGACTTGCAGTAATAAACTGAACCGATTTTGATTCTGTGTTATGCCTGAAAGTATCATCAACTGCCAAATAGTTTTGTTACTTCTCATGTTTATGGCCTCATTTGCTCTTGTCAGGGAAAACAGGGAGTTGAGTACAGAGGCCTATTAGCCGAAAACAAAGACAGTCCAAGGAAACGCCCACGGGCAAGGTCCATTTTCCAGGCATTGTTTGCATTCTTACTCTGAGCAGGCGCTGCTTCACCAAAGTTCGAATTGCATATATATATATATATATCACACTAGAGAACTGATCAATCGATGACTGTTATCCCTTTGTATTAGAGTGCAACAAGCCTCACAGAGGAACAACAATCTGATCATTCTTTTGTAAACCGAGTTCATTTACTGGGAAGCTTGAGATGTTGAAAAGAATGGAGAAGCACTTTTGAGAGAATTTGTTCATTTTGTTTATCAAATGGTTTAACGTCTCGCTGTTGCTTTTTGGTGATTACAAGACGCCTTCCCAGATCAAACTCTCAAAGAGTCTTTTCTTGTACATGCATGGGTTATTTTCACTGCTGATGATCAGTTGCCCATGGCATATGCTTTTGATGTTGTGTTCTAAGCTGAATGATGCCATCTTTCCACTGATTCACCAAACAAGGAAGGTGGTTTCAGACTTTCAGTTTCTCTCAATGCTCAAATTCCTCAGCAGTTTGAGAACATACTTGTCGGATACATAGGCAGTTGGGATCTTGCTTTCTTTCACTCATCAATTGAAATAACTACCAATAGACTATCGCATACTTCCACATTTGATGAGTTGAGCATGCTACCAGTTGGGATATTGCTGAATCTGAGATGCTACCAATAGACTATCGCATACTTCCACATTTGATGATTTTAACAGCCAGTGAGGGAGCATGGCTAGTGGAGAAACCATGGATCGGTGGCATAATCTACTGGCAGCCATGATCAAATGGAAGATGTTGTACGTCGTTTATCGGAGCTCGAAAACAGTACACCAAAAATGCTGCTACTGGCCTACTACTGACTAGCTAGCCTTTCTTGCTGCCGGTAAACTGCATGCCCAAGCCAGCAATGTGTCATCCAGTCTTGAACACTTGTGTACATAAAAATGTATGTTGCAATGGCTGATCTAACAAGTGAAGTAGTAATTATGGTTGCATTGCAGGTCGTATATTCTTTGTGTTTGAATCCTGGTTTCATTTTGTGCATGAGTTTGTTCAAGTAGCTTCAGATCACAAATTATCCAAGTACGGGAAGAACAATGCATTCACCACTTCCAAAAGAGGATCATCATCCACCCATAAAAGATCTAGCTTTCTAAATCACTTAACTAACGTAAACACCAATAACAAACAAAATGCTCATCACTTCTCTTCATGATTCGGAAATGCACAAGATTTTTGCATCAAGCAAACAGTAGCTCAAAACCCTAAACTCCACTCTCTTACCTGCCAATGATTTAGCTTCAACGTTCTGATGTCCCAGAAATGTAGTTGGACGAACTCTGACGGCATTTGGAGTCGAGAGAAGGTCCACCTTTAGATCCAGGGCTCTTCTGAACGTGCCTTCTCTTAGAAGCGCTAGGCCCTTCCCTGCTCGTATGAGTTGAGGCTGCAGGTCCCCTTGATGAAGTTGAGTTCTTCAGCCTACTACTTCCAGTAACACCTGAAGAATGGTGCGAAGAATTGTTCTTTGACGATGTCATCTGATACAGCATTTTTGACTTCTTCTCAGCAACTCTCTGCTCGATTTCCTTTGGGTCAGGAAAGTGCACCAGGGATACTCGGTGAGAAATATTCCCAACTGTTCAATCAAAGCAAGTGCTATCAGGAGAACGCTTCAAACCAAAGGTTACAGATAATAGTTTTCTTTATCCTGGGGGGACAGTGTAGACGACTTCAAATAGTGACAACTCCGACAATAAGGTTAATGCAGATAAAAGCCGTGATAAAACAGTATATCATACGAGATACTGTTTCTCTAAGCTCAGCAATGAACCGGCGAAATGTGCATAAACACTAGAAATAACTAAGCTTCTCACTCGCCATCTCTCTCTTTCTATCTAGTTCCACTATTCTTTGCCTTGCTCAACAAAGAAGATGTTAATTTCAATTGGAGCTGCCATATCTCAACGACGAAAATAGGTCGAAAAGAAACCATCAACGAAAAAGAGTAGCTAGCAGATTCTCGTTTGTCAACGATACTAAGGACCGGGCCGAGCGAAATGTTGTTCAATAGAGGCTTGAAGAGGGAACATATATTCATATGTCCTTATAATCATTTTCTTTTACAACCTGACCTTCACTGTAAATTGTCCTTACTGTCTTGATTGACTACTCAATGGTGATAATTTTCCAATCACAAAGAGGGCATTGCATATGATTCATTCATTCTTCACCCTACTCTATGCAAGATACATACTACACTAAACTGTATCAACCAGTCAGTCACCAAAGGCAAATACAAACAGTTGTCTAAACCCCATCGTGCATAGCAGATGAAGCAATCCAATGAATGTCAAAGACAGTGAACAAAGGGAAGGGTTACCAATCTCAGTTTCTGAAACAGAGGACATGAAGACTGCCGCATCTCGCTCTACATCGGTGCCGACTATATCATACTTTTTCCCTGCCACAGACATAGGTGCAGAAAGGAGCAACTTCAACAATGGAACCCAACAACTTGGGAGGCAGAGCTGAAAGAGCACATAGTCTCAAGGATGGATGGCAAACCTGATAGATCCTCGAAGCTTCCCGAGCTAACATTGCGATCGAATGTAATGCATACTTCCTTGCCGTGGATATCAGGAAGCTACAATATACACACACGAGAAAACTTCAAATTATATCGGAACCCGTATTGATTGAACCAGGAAAAGGAAGGAAGAAAAGCAGGGGAAGAAGAGGGAAAAAGTACGTCGTGGGGCGGCCATTGGATAAGCCAAAGCTCTTTAGAACTAGAGCGAGCACCGGTAAGATCAAGAAGTGGCTCTCTTGTATCTTGTTCGAATCCGTCGTCGGGCTGGTAAGCCGGCACCTCCTCCTCACCGTCCATTGGCGATGTAAGTCTAATCAAGAAATTCAAACCCCAATATTTAAAAAGAAAAAAAAAACTCAAAAGTTCGAATGTCAACCTGAAATTTCCTCCAATCGACAAGCGAACAGAACTCTTACCTTAAACCACCGAAATTGATGGGAAAAGAAGAAACAGAGGGGAACTAAGAACAGATCTTGCTGAAGTCCGAACTATACAGCTGGCTTGAGGACAGCCGGTGGCGTTTAAGTGAGTTGGTGGAGGAGGGGCGGCAGGTCGTTGTAAGGTTGGACGGAACTCGTCGCCGGGAATACCTCGGTAAAGGAGTGTGATGGCGGCTAGGTCGAGTTAAACTAAACACAAAACCGGAACTCAGCCCAATCTAGTCGAGTACAAGACAATAGACTAAGGGTATGTTTGGAAGTTGAGATTCTCCAAATAGATGCATTTAATCAATTCATGTATTATTATTGGCCAAATTCATCTGTATAGCCAAAACTTTGACGGTTTTGCCAAATATAGCCACTTTTGGAGAAATACCAGAAATAGCCACTTCCATCCAATTGTTTGACGGTGTTAGTTAACAGGCTGAGTGGACAAACGGAACATCCGACATGGCTTTTATCGTCGAACAAGTTAATTCCACGTGGAAAAAAAAAGTTGAAACGGTAAATGCGTTGTTTTACACCTCAGTCACTTTCTATCGTTTTAATTTTCCTTTCACTTTCCCCGAGTCGATATCCAGAGAAAACCCCTCTTCTCCGACGACGAAGCACGACGCTCCCCCTTCTCCAGATCGGCGGCGGTAGTCGTCGACGACGACGAGAGCCTTTCTGATCCACGAACCCACCACGAGAAGCAAAACCCCTTTCCTCCTTTCCGATTCAGGAACCCTAAAATCTTTCCGAGCCTCCTTCCATCGAATCGGCCATGCCTCGCGGGGTTTCATAGATCCTCTCCACGTTCCGCCGTCGCGATTCACTGTTGGTGAGGGGGAATCGACCACTCAAGTCGGCCCTGGCCTTCTCTTCCTCCCTCGTCTGCCATTAAACCCATAAAATAAAAAAAATAAACTCAGATCTATGTTCCCAAAACCAGAATCAAACGAAAACCCAAAGAAATCGACATATAAGATAAAAAATCGCACAGATGTTCGTCGACGTTGAGAAACGGCGTCGCCCCCCGTCGTCAGTCTTCTCTTCCTCCCTCATCCGCTATTAAACCCAGAAAAAACAAAACAAAACTCAGATCTGACTTTTCAAAACCAGAACCAAACGGAAACCCCAGAGAAATCGACATGTAAGATCAAAAAACCACTCACCTTCGTCGCCGATGTGAAGGGCCGCGTCGCCCCTCGCCGTCGTCATTGTCATCACCAGCAGTGTTCGCCTCCAGTCTCCGCCAGCATAGTATTTTTTCATTTCGATCGTTTTTTCCAGAAGTAATGAGAGGGAAAGGGGTAAATCGAAGAAAAGAAGAACAAGGCTAAGCCCCTTTTTGGTTCTGTTCGGAGGATTGTGGGTTTGGAGGAGAAAAGAAAGAAATCGAGAAAGAGAAGTGAGAGTTGTATGGCGAAGGGAACGAGAGAGAAAGAAAAAAACGAGAGAGAACGGATTTTTTTTACCCATTATAAATGATGTGGCATCTCACATGTCAATAGATGCTGAGGTGGTAAGGAAACACAAGGTGAGGTGGCAGCCACATCATCTGTCCGTTAAATAGACTAACGGTGTCATTGACGCCGTCAAACTATTTAACGGAAATGGCTATATTTGTCATCGAACTTTCAAAATCCTGGCTATTTCTGGTATTTCTCCAAAAGTGGCTATATTTGTCACAACCGTCAAAGTTTTGGCTATGCAAGTGAATTTGGCCATTATTATTTGATGTATTGATTCAATGCATGTATTAGGAAAATACCTTGTTTGGAAAGATAATGATTGAGCAAAAAGTAGGGTAGACAATCCCTTGTTAACAATCTCTACTTTTTGTAGAGATTGACAATCATTCATTTTGAGTGATTGTGGGTGGGCCAGGAAAAAGGTAATACATGCATTCTAACTCAAAATTGAACCAAAAAAACGACTTAATCTTATCATTACATGTATTGGCTAAATACCTCACTTGAAATCTCAACTTCCAAACGACCCCTAAATTGCATGGTTGTCAAACCGTTTTAAAAGCTGAATCTCTATTCGTCGTCCTAAAATTTAAAATTTATCGGCCTAAATTACACTTAAATGACACATATACCCCTGCCACAAATCAAACCTAGACCCTTCTCTCGGCAACCAAAATCCGCCGCCTCCCATTCTTGGCAAAACCCGAAACTGGTCCCTACTACTGTCGTGTTGCTGTGTTACTGGGCGGAGGAGGAAGTCGCTGTTGCTGTGTTGATGTCGCTGTCGTGCAGGAGGAAGGAGGGGAGGCAGATCCTGGGCGGTGCTGGTATGTTGCTGCGAAAAAGAAGGGGAGGCAAATCCGGCGACTGTATTCATTCCGACATTTTTCGTTGAGCCAAAACAGTCCGATACCCAAATGATCACTATACTTGAGGTTGCTCCCAAATCCGGCGACTATGTATTCATTCCGGCGACCATTTGTGTGCTTGACCCGTTCGAAGAAGAAGGAGATGCAAATTGGTTTCGTTGACCCGGAACGTTTAGGACGTGTTGAAAAGTTGTCCGATATCCACGAAAAAATTAAAATAAGGGCATTTGTGTAAATTCAATAAGATTTAGGGCGACAAATAAACTATTTTAGGGCTAGGAATAGCAATCCCCTTTAAAAGTTGGAGGTTAATTGCATGGTTGGTCACTGAGATTACAAAAAACGTTCAAGTTTGGTCACTCGAAATATTAAATCTATTGGTGGTATTTCAGTTTACTGAAAACTGTTCACGTTTGGTCACTCTCCGTCCAACTCCGTTAACTTTTGCTAATGTAGACCATTGCTTGTTCGCCATAGCTGAGATAAAGCAAGATTAGAAACTTTAGTTAGGGTCATCGTTTCATCCGCCCTTCCACTTCTTGAGCTGACCCAGCATGAGTCAAGGCATACTTCTGACTTCGAGCTTTTTGAAGGCATTGGGCGGAAGATGATCAACTCTATTGTGGGGATCTGTAGCGGCTTACGAACAAACCGTCGGTCGGGAAGGAATTTTTTCTATTGATTTTTCATCAAAAAGCTTTATTACTTTATACAAGGCAGATGGCCCGCTGTTTTCATTTGGTTGTTTTTTTTCTCGTTGTTGGTACCGGCAAGACCCAACCAGATGATGTCTACTGGTTGGTAGTGAGAGGACATGACAATTTAAAATAATAAATTTAATAAAATTAAAATTTTCAGACTTGCCATCTCATTTCCACTCATTATCACTTTTATTTAAAATAAATAAAAACCCTAATTTCATCTAATTCCCAATACCAATACCTCCACCCTTTGGCCACCGCCTGGTTGATGAACAACCTCGCATAGGAGTGAATCCGGCTCGTCACGGGCTTCACGCACACGATTGTATTGTCGGGCTGCGGCGTCACCTTTGACAACGTTAAGGAAGCTGCTTGCGCCTACAACTGCGCCGCTACCAACTTCGTCTACCCTTCTCTCCCTCCCACTCAAACCCACAACAACAACTGCAACAACGACACCACTTTCCCACCTTTCAGCCATTTCTCCAAACCCAGCCATTCCTTCTCCTCCTACCTCGCCAGCTGGACACCGCACCCACTCCTCGCCTCCGATCACCACCACCACTTCGCCGCCCCGGCGCAAAGGGCCAAAGCCCCGCCTCCTCCTCCGGTTGACTTCCTCCACTTCCCCGAGAGAGCCGTCACCGTGACGCTGCAGCCCGACAATCAGATCGTGTGCGTGAAGCCGGTGATGAGCCAGATCCACTCCTATGCGAGGCTGTTCATCAACCAAGCGATGGCCAAAGGATGGGGGTGGAGTATTAGGGATTAGAAAAAATTAGGGCTTTTCTATTTATTTTAAATAAAAGTGATAATGAGTGAGAATGAGATGGCAATTGTGAAACATTTAATTTTATTATTTTTAAATTGCCACGTCAAACATTTAGAGTTGACTGCCACGTTAGCAAAAGTTAATGGAGTTGGACGGAGAGTGACCAAACGTGAACGGTTTCAGTAAATTGAAATACCATCAATGGATTTAAATATTTCGAGTGACCAAACTTGAACGTTTTTTGTAATCTCAGTGACCAACTATGCAATTAACCCTAAAAGTTGTATAAGTTAACCAAGTAGTTTCACGTTTAATGGTCTTATCGGGATCGAATATGGTTGAGTTGCTTTACACATTTCTAATTATATATACAAATAATTACTAATAGTGTAATTTAAAATTTTAATAACTGAAATGAAATTTGTTCAGTCTAAACTCATCTCCATGAAAGAAAATCTATTTTTAAAGTTCTATCGATTGGGTTGGGAAATTGGGAATTGATGGGGATTTAGAAGAGAATTTGGGGAAGAAGATAGAAAATCGGCCTAGGCCCTTAGATGGATTAAGATCAAGAATTGAGAGGATTGGTAGATTAGGGTTTAGGAGAGTTTTCTTAATATTCTTCTTATATCCCCTGAATAAAACGCCAAATACATATTTATAGCTAAAAACCGTAAAAACCTAATGGACTATCATAATATGACTCAATGACTACTAACCATATCTAATAAAATTCGAATAATAACTATAATAATAATACGATTATAGAAATCGTAGGTTTCTATCATGCTCAAATTTAGAATTATGCTCAAATTTAGAAATGGACCTCTTTCCCATAACTTCCTTGACCTTCGATGCCTCTCCCACGTTGTGACACTTGTCCTCTTCTCCATAGCCAGACGATTCCATTTCGTCTTCAAAGACCACACAATACGAACTAGAGAACGACTCTTCCTTGTACCCATGTTTATTTAAGCTCTTGAAAACTTCAATTGGATGCTCCATAATTTCCATCCAATGCTGGCCCCAACCTGCCAACGTTTCCCTGTGCATCCAACAAGGCCCGTGGCTAATTGGGTGTGAATTTGACTCACACAATTCCTTCCTCTCATCTCCTGCTCGTGGCTTCCCTTCTTCCATTTTCTCCCATTTTTCCCGATTCTGATATTTTCCTTTTCCCTTTTCTCCCCCCTCTGCAGACACAAAAAGTAACACACCCTTTGTCTTTCTTCCTCTTCTCTTCTTCTCTTTGCTTTCTCGGCAAAGGAAAACCTTCCTCTTCTCTTTCTTTACCTTCTCTACCGAAAAAACCATTCATATAATTCTTATTCTATTTCACGTCTCAAAGGGTTCTCGCTGCAGAACCCATTGTGATTGATGTAGATTAGGAGTAGGGGTGGCAGAACGGTTTTCGGTTAGCAGTTAACCGGATGGTTTCAACCGAACCGACCAATTTTCGACTAACCGAAAAACCGTTTCTGCTTGCATCGGTCGGTTGGCGGTGGAGATGAGAAGAAGTTCAGCTAGCCGACTAACCGGGGTCGGAAACCGGCGGTTAACCGGCTAACCGACCCCTTCACTTTCCCCAAAACGACCCCGCTTCAATCCTCCTCCTCCCTAACCCTAAGTCGACTCCCTCCTCCTCCCAAATCATTCGACCTTCGCTGCTCAACCCTTCCGGCCTTCCCCCTTCTCGCGCAGCGGCGCAAAAAACCTCCAGCCCTCAACCTCGTCTCGCCCTGCCGCCTCCACCTCGTCGCCCCGCCGCCTCCACCACCAGCAGCCAGGCAACAACCCGCCGCCTCCACCCTCGTCGCCCTGGCCGGATGTGCTGTTGATTTGACAGCCAGCCCTAATCTGGTGGAACACCGACCCCACCTTCCTTCCTCCGTCGGCCGCGAGCCAGCCCTCCTCCCCCGCCGGCGCTAGGTCTCCCATCTCCCAGACTTGCCGCCAATTCCGTGGTCCAGGTGAAGAAGGTGTCAACGACTAAGCAATCGGGGCAGTGTTGTTCCAACAATTCTTTGAGGGGCTCAGCGAAGGTGGAAGCAGAGTTGAAGAAGAGGTCCACTTTTGCTTCTTCGGACGCTTGCTCCTAGGTGATTGTCCCGGCGGCGGTGGTCATGGCGAGAACTTGGATTGGGGATTCGGAAGCAGATTTTTGGATGGATTGGTAGACTTTCTCGGTGTAAGCAGCGGTGGTGATGATGCTGCTCTTCACTCCTCTGGAAGCGAAGAGCTTGGCCAAGTCGATCAAGGGGATCATGTGGCCGATGAATGGCATGAAGAAGATGTGGAGCTGCTGGTTTTGGTTGTTTGGACTGTCCATTGGGCTGCCAGGTAAAAAAGAAAGGAACTGATGGAAGGGAAAAATGAAGTGGTTTGGTGGGTGGGTGTGAAATGGTGGATGAAGGAAGGAGAGAGAAGAGAAGTGGTCTGGTGGAGGAAGGAAGGAGAGAGGAGGAGATAAGGATTGAGATGAGTGGTGGAGAATTTTTGTTTTTTTAATTAATTTTTAGTTTTTTTTTTTTGTAGAAAAGTTAGTTTTTCCGGTTGGCCAGCTAACCGAGTCTAAAACCGAAACCAACCGGTCGGTTGGCCGGCTAACCGTGACCTCTCTCACGGTCGGTGGTCGACAGCTATAGGGGTGGCTCGGTTCAACCGATAATCGGGTTTTTGGTTAAACCGAAACCGATCGACTGTCACCCCTAATTAGGAGGGGAAGCTTCTTCTCGGTAGAGATGGCAGACGACGGGTGATACACCCATAAATACACATATTTATTCTCACATTCAGTATTCAATTAGCTTGTTATTAGGAGTAAGTCTAGTAGTTTTTTCTGTTTTGTACTTGGTTTTGTGTATTTTGATGTTTAATGATATTCAGAGTCATGTGAGAAATGAAAGCGAATTCAAAGTTCAGATGAGGAAATTAAGTAAAAACAAAAGTCGCAATTTGCACAAGCAAGACGATTCAACTTCCGTGTGTACATTTTTTGGTAAATACAATTGAATATCCAAATCTTTCATTTTAAACAATATAATAGCCAAATCTTTTCGAAAACAATCTAATATTCAAATCGTCAACTTTTCGTCCGTTTGACCGTTGGTTGACACTTCAAAAAAACTTTGTTTAGGTGAAATTGTCACAATACAACTTTGTTTTCTTGTTTTCGCATTGCAGATGACTGAATATTTAGATATTCTATACCATCATGGTGGAGTCATGGACTTCTCGGGTTTGGAACCACGATATGTTGGTGGTTTTTCAGAGAAGATATCAATGGATATTGATGAAGCGTCGTACTTTGAACTTTTTTGAAGTGTCAACTAACGGTCAAACGAACGAAAAGTTGACGATTTGGATATTAGATTGTTTTCGAAAAGGTTTGGATATTATATTGTTTAAAATGAAAGGTTTGGATATTAAATTACATTTACGCTACATTTTTTCCAAGACAGGAACAAGGGTGCATGAATACGTAAAAACAAAAGTCGCACTTTGCACAAGCAAGACGATTCAACTTCCGTGTGCACATTTTTTCTAAGTCACGAACAGTAGTGTAGCCAGAATTTTGTTTAAGGTGGGTCCATCTCGAAAAAATAAATATGATAAAATAGTTTTTTTAATATAATCTTACGTTGAAAACTTTTGATAAATTAAAATGCATTAGCAGTCGAAAATATCAAGAATATCACTCTGCACATATACCAAACAATCATTGATATAGTTAGTCGTACTGTTTCAAATGGTGTTCTTTGTTAAAAACTGTTAGTATCAATACCTCGAGTTGTTGATAGAGATTTAATAATAATCTTGTACCAACCAATAATTCATGATTTATCTAGTCGTTCGCTTTCTAATGATATTCTTAAAAAAATATTTAATATCAATAAATCGAGTTGTTGGAAGATTTCAATAATATATTATACCATTTACTACCATGCTCCCTTATAAGAAAGTCAATTTATACGAAATTGATGTTTGCACAAATCTGTATACCATATGCTTAAGAAATGAGGTCGCCAAAATTCAAACACAACATTTTGACCAACTATTCTGAATTAAATGCGACCTAGTTTTCGATATCAATTAACTATTGTACCTAATTTAACCATTTTCCCGAACGGGACCCACCTTGTTACCCTCTCCCTCCGCCACTGGTCACGAACAAAGGTGCATGGGATTCATGTACACCAGGAATGCACACGTAAGAGGAAAAAGGTAGCAGCTCCCGTGAGCAAGCAGGCTGATCTACTGGGGATTCATGTACAACAAGAATGCACACGTAAAAGGAAAAAAGGTAGCAGCTCTCCTAAGCAAGCAGGCTGATCTCCTGGTGTAGGCGGCGAAGCAAGTAGCTAAAGGATGCGGGCCCTGAACATGAGTTGGAATTGGAGGTGTAATGGCAATGGAATGACAAACAAGCTGCTGAAGAACGGTGTCTATTGGCACAAGTGAATGGAGACGAAAAGGTAGCTGGCAGCTCAAGCAAGGTACTGAATGATTGTGGGGACTGGGGAATTGGCGCAAAACATGGAATTGGATGTAGCTGGCCTTTGTCTCCTCAAGCAAGCAAGCAAGCAAGCAGGCTTCTATAGGCCATCTCTCGGCCATAGGTAAGCAGGTAGCTGTGCAACCGTTTAAAGCTAGCTGCTCTCCAAGCGGGTGTGGCCATAGGTGATCAGTTGGGCGGTAGCTGTTGCAAGCTTGCAGGGTATGAGTACCAATGTACCTACTCTATTCCTTTTCATTGGTGAGTGACAAGCTGCTGCAGGGTATGGGGACAAACGGACCTGCTCTACTCTATTTCATTGGCGAGCCTTCAACTTCTCTGTCAACTTGTTTGAGGTAATTGACCAGAGGATGAATCCTCTTCCTAATTTTAGAGAGGTTGAAGCTGAAATTAACTTCAGCACAGGGATTGCGTGAAGCAAGTCTACATAGGTAAGTTCTTTAAAGCTGTATAGTTAAATCTAGAAGAGGAATGGTGTCTAGTTCTTACTGATGAAAGTGGGTGTTATTATGTAAGGTGATTTGACACAACACATGAAGCTGCTCCGTGAGATTCTTCTCTTCCTCTCCTTTCAACTTTATCTCTCTAGCATAGGGTGATCACTTTCTTGGCATACCTAGGAACATTATTCTTCATATATAACATCTGATCACCGGGTGGATGAAAGCATCAACATGGGATTTTGTTTGTTGTTTGCTGCAGTGCATATGATATAGTGGGATCAATTTCAGAGGGTGGAAGCTGACCTCAAACAGGTACATACAGCTAGCTAGCTAGAGAGATGGGAGGATACTGTTGCTTTTGAGAATGTTTCAAACTCTCCTGACTATTCTAGCTGTGTACTCAACAGTTGGTACTTGGTTTTCTCAGCATTTTCTCATTTAGGCTGTATCCATTTTCCTCTGTTTCTTTCTCATGGATTCTAGAATGGCAGTCAACCCTTCATAGCTGTTGTGTTGCTGGTCAGAGTAATGGAAGATAATCTTGCCTGCTATTGGGTATATACTGAAATATACTTTTAATACTATTAAAATCTATCAGGTAACTTATTTTTATACGTTAAGTAACTGTACAGTAGGTTATTATTCGATTTTTATACTTTTAGTGCTCATTGAACTTTTGTGTTTGATGTGTTGCTTGCTACACCTTAGGTGACAATCGAGGTGGCTATACATGGTACCTACCAACTTCCTTCTGTTGACTGTAGTAGTGACAAAATGAAAGATGCTCTCAACTCTCTGGATACCATACTTGATCAAATTTCGGCAAGCAATGTGCTACCAAGGAGAGGTGATTTTAAGATATTTCAAAGGGGTGTTTTTCTTTGGATTTCAAGGATGTTGGATCATGACTAGATCATTAGGTTGTTTTGAGTACTTAGAATATTATGAATAGTAAACTATGTTCCTTTGGATTATGTTTAAATATCTATAGTTATTAGCATTTTACCATGTAAAGAATATTAGTATTTATCATAAATCATGGAATGAATCATAAAATATTGATGGGTATGGTGTATTGTATGATTTGGCTATCAAGAATGATATTAATAGTCAAATTAGCAAGAAAAAAGTTTGGTTCTGGATTTATCTATAGTGGCCATTGCAATTGCAACCAAGTAATAGTCACAAATCTGCGTGGTTCTCTTTAGCAACGATTTATTTGCATCTCTTTAGTGATAGTTTTTAGTTGGTTGCAAATTGATTTAGCGACGAACAAAGCAAGGGTTTTAACCCTTACTACAAACATCTCATTAGTGAATTTTACACTGAAGTGTAGCAAGGGTTTTAACCCCTGATACATATAGCAGGGGTTTGAAACCCCTGCTACAACCCTTGGATGGGACTTTCACCGTGGGTTGCTAAAAACCCTTGCTACACGTAGCAGGGGCAGCATTGGCAAGGGTTCAAGCAGGGGTTGGTGAAACCCTTGCTACAACTGGTAGCAGGGGTTAAAACCCTTGCTATAGATAGAAAAAACCCTTGCCATAGACACATTTTTTTGTAGTGTGGGTCTCGGCAAATGAAAATGGAATTGAACAAGAATGAAGCACGTAGCTGAAGCAAAATAAACAAATCAACAATGATGCCAAGTTTGTACTATAAATAGAGGGAGGGGTTATGTTGAAAACACACTTCCTAGCCAAGAGAATAGCTAAAATTTCTCACCTCCTTACACTTCCTCAACTTTGTAATAATCTCAAAATTCTGCCGAAATCAATGCGCAATGTCATTATCTCATTCTAAAGGTGAATGTTTCATACGACAACAATTCCTACTTGAGATTAGCGGTAATATGTTATATTAATTCGTAAATTACCATAAGAAGTTTATTTGACTTTTAGGTGATTTATTGGTATAACATACTTACCCTATTCTCTTTTCTTCCACTTGGCCAGCAATAAGGTTTTGGTAACTTTTCTACTTTTCTGTATCTAATTTTCTCGCACTTTTTAAGTGGGGTTTGGTTTATATAATTAGCTAGCTCACTTGAGTTAGCTAAGCCCTTCCGCCTTTTCGTTCAATTTACACTATATATACTTCTATTTATTTTTGGAATGGAGTTAGGTTTATATGATTAGTTAACTCACTTGAGTTAACTATATCTTTCCGCCCTTCGTCTGCTATAATGAGTAACTAAAAAAACCTGTGTTTGGAATGGCAGAACCCTCGATGAAATTAAGATCCCAAATCTTTTAAAAGTGACCTAATTAACAGATTTATGACGAATTGACATCTCTTGTGTTTGTTTATCTTGTTCCTGATTGAGAGGAGAGACCCTCAATTTTGGGAAATTGTTGAAAGACAGATTCG